ACTGAAATTACTGGCCATGAAGAAGAGAAGACTAAGGAGGGAAATGATCATGTCCTCAAACACAAAAAAAGATTGTTATAAAGATGATGGTGATCAACTATGCACTCTGTTCACAGGGAACAAGATGAGAAGTAACGGCCTTAAATTGCAACAAGGGAGATTTGGATACTAGGAAGAAACTTCTCATTATGAGGGGGTGAAAGACTGGAAGAGGTTGCAGAATCTTCATTAATGGACTTTTTTTAGTATAGGTTGGATAGTGATGATTCTGCCTTGAGTAGAGGGTTGACTTGTGGAGGTCTCTCTCAGTTCTTTTTCTACGATTCTAAAAATTTTGTATCTTTAACTAATCTGATCCCCTTGTCCTGAGACACTGCTTCCTCAGCAGCAGTCTCCTGTGCAAATGAGCACTGACATGTCTTTTGTTTTAGTTCAAAAGTCAACACTGCAAGAAAAGAAGCTTCAGAGCAGAAAAAGGAAAGATGTCCCTATTTATTACTACTGGGTCAGAAAAATGGAGTGTTCTTATCCATGATGACACAAAGATGTGTTGCTGATGACAAAGACATGGGGAGAAGTGGGCACACTGGAGGGGAGGGACAGAATCCAGCTAGGTTACAGAGGTGGGCAGATGACACTAGAAAGGAATTCAATGCAGACAAGTGCAAGGAGCTGCATCTAGGGAGAAGGAACCTGCAACATACCTATAGGCTGGGGAACACCCTTGACAACAACACAGTGGCTGAACGGGATCTTGGAGTCATTGCTGACTCCACGATGGACGTGAGCCACCAATGCAAGGAAGCGGTCAGTAAGGCTAACCGCACCTTGTGGTGCATCTACCAAGGCATCACAAGCAGGTCCAGGGAGGTGATCCTTCCACTCTATGCGGCACTGGTCAGGCCGCAACTGGAGTACTGTGTCCAGTTCTGGGTGCCGCACTTCAAGAGGGATGCGGCTAACCTTGAGAGAGTCCAGAGAAGGGCCCCCTGCATGGTCAGGGGGCAGCTGGCCAGGCCCTACAAAGATAGACTGAAGGGCCTGAATCTATTCAGCCTCCACAAGAGAAGACTGAGAGGAGATCTGGTGGCCATCTATAAACTCACCAGGGGGGACCCACAGAAAATAAGTAAGGCTCTGTTCCTCTGGGCACCACCTGGGATAACAAGGAATAACAGTCACAAATTGATTCAGAGCAATTTCAGGCTTGATATCAGGAGGCATTACTTTATGGTTAGGGCTGACAGGCTCTGGAATGGGCTCCCAAGGGAGGTGGTGCTCTCCCCTACCTTGGGGGTCTTCAAGAGGAGGTTGGATAGATATCTGGCTGGGGTATTATGATCCCAGCACTTGTTTCTGCCCAGGGCAGGGTGGTCAGACTTGATGATCTGTTCAGGTCCCTTCCGACCCTAGAAACTATGTGATTAAAATATGTAGATAAAAATAAGAAGTCGACATTGAAAAGTGAAGTGCTCCAAGTAGAGATTGCAGAAGAGCCTTTCCAATTGGTGAAAAAGATACAATCACAAAGTAAATAAAAAATAAAGGACTAGCTAAAGAAAGGAAAATCAAAATTCAAGACAAGGCTAGGAAGGTGCTATTTATATTTCAGATTATGTGCATGGACTGCTAGAGCAATCTTCTAATCTTTTGCTGTCTGAAGACTGTTGGTAAGGTCTCAGAGCCTTGTGCTGTGGGGCCTGGAAAGAGCTATAGTGTTTTACAGAAGCATAGGACTGGAAGGGGCCTCCTGGGCCAATGAGTCCAGTCTCCTGCACTGGCAGACAACCATTTACACAAATCAATTTGGAATCCACAAAACTGCCATAGCAGCCTCTGCTCCTGTGGCCTCCCCCTGTCACAGCTGCTTACATCCTTTGGCTCCAGCATGGCTCTGGCCCCGCTCAAGCCTGGGGCACAGAGTATGTGGTTGCTCCAGCTCCAGCCTGGCCAGACATCAGCTGTTACTGTTGCATTTCTAGGCTGGGTCTAGAGTGGGGCTGGAGCTGGAGGGTAAGTTATAGCGGTGAAGCAGGAAGTGGGAGCGGAAAGGAGGCAGAGGTGGCATTGGGGCAGGGGAAGGGGAAGAAGCAAGCAAGGGGGCAGAGATTGCGGTGGGGACAGGTAGTGGCTGCAACTACAGCTCCAACCCCATGTCGGGCTCAAAGTCAGAGCTCCAGCAGCCACCAGCCTCCCTGCTACCTTGTACTTGAATCCAAGATGAGGGGCTTCCCCATGTTAAATGGGGGAAAAAAATCTTGTCTTGGACTCAAGTAAATATGGTATGCCAAGAAGATCAGTACCTAATAAGCGCTTAACATATGAAGGCAAACCCCCGGAGAGATCTTACCAACCCTGCCTAGGGGAAGAATTCCTCCCTGACCCCTCATTTCGCTACTTGTATGACCTGGAGTAGAACAGCAAGACCCACTATTTAGGAACCTTTTAAGTTTTCTAAGTAGGGGCAAGAACAACAGTTCACTCCAGTAATAAATCCCCCAGCTCTAGCTCTGGTTAATATCCAGTGCTTCAGGGGAAGGAGGTCGGGGGAAACGAAACCAAGAGACGCTGGCATTCATGAGAAGAGGAAAAAAATGATTCCTTCCTAGTCCCTGCAGAAAACGAGTAAAGGAAACTTCTGAAGTAATCATATTTCCTACAATTTCCCTGATTATCACCAAATTACACATGAAAAGCCTGCTGTTCAACTGGCAGCAGAATGCTCTACTAAAAACTTTGACATTAAGTTGTGCTTAGCTCCAGGAATACAGAGGAGGCAGCAGATCTGCTCTACTGCCTCCTCCATATTTTAATGAGGTAATATATGCATCTGAAAGCTCCCTTGCTCACGGACATCATGCATGTCTTTGCAGCCATAGCAGAAGCAGTATTTTTAAAAAAGGTAACTTACATGACCCTGCTTATTTGGAGACAAGTGAACCACAGGATCTTGCCTCATTAGTCTTCCACTGGGGCTCTCTCTGAAGGATGGCAGCACTTTTGATACTGCTGGGAGATGGCATGTTGGTTCTGCAAGACAGTACAACACTGCAGTTACGACAGATGCAGTGTGACAAATTAAGATAACTTGAATCAGATCTTCTCCTTTGATACTCCTCACTGCTATCATTAGCCATCAACTTAGGACATTTGGTAATACATTTATTTCAAAATGCACGATGTCTCAGTACATGGCACCATGTGAGGAACCCAGGGTCAATCCTTAAACTCCTAATCAGGATAGGTTCATCAAAATCTGTGAAACCACACAAATTACTTTTGTCAGGGGAGGACCAGGTTCCATGGGTCCAAGAGATTTTGACCAGGACATTAAACTAGATATCTACACACCATGACAATGAATATCACATGTGTCCCTATGTTTACACTGACTAAAGACAACCAATTAGAAATCTCGAGATCCACCCTCTTTTGGTTTTACTGTAAGGAAGGCAAAACAGTTAAAGTTACAGTGATCGCTTAACTGCATACATTTGTTTCTCCACTGAGCTTTAAACCTATCTGGTAGAAATATCCACCATAATTCTCAAACTCAGCACAGGTAATTATTTTTAAGAGAACAACATATTGTCTGAAACACTAAATAAGCTATATCATTTATTAAAACGTCAATATTTCTATACAGACCAATGGCTTTGTCTAGATTTCATGCAAACAGCATATATTTGGCCTTGCCTACACAAGAAAGCTATTTTTATTGAACCAATTAAACAATATCAGTTTTAAAATGGATTAAGTCAGGGGTTCTCAAACGGTGGGTCATGATCCCCCAGGGGGTCGTGAGCAACTTAAAAGGGGGCTGCAAACTTCCCAGCAGTTACCGCAGTGACGCAGCGATGTGGGACATGATGGCAGCAGCTGTCATGTGCAAGCTCCCTGACCCCTGCCGCTGCCATCCAGCACTAGGGGGTGCGGTAGCACAAAGTTTGAGAACCTCTGGATTAAGTTAAACCCATGCGGTGCCTTCCCCTACCCCTTGTGCCTTTATTTGGCCTAAGAGTGACTTTTATTAGGTCAGTTTAAATAGATAAAATAAGTATGTATGAATAAATAAAAAGCTACCCTTTCTTCGGTTGCTGCTACTGAGTATTAGCTGACTTTCATACAAGGTCCTCCAAAAATATGTATCTACTTCTTGAGTGTCCCTAAGAGGGTCTCTCTTGGTGGTAATTTTTTACATGGAACTTCTTCTCCTGGGGATACTGGAAATTCTGTATTTTTTAAAGGCAACTTTTAAGGGAAATTTACACTTCCAATATCTGGGTCTTTACAGGAGAACTAGCCAAAGTGCAGATGGAATCTGACAAAATTTCCCTCTTTTACTACACCCTCTCAGTCTTGAACTGCAACATCATTAGCTTTCTGGGTCTCCTGACTGCTTATTCTGGCAAGAGAAAACAAGAGGTGACAGTGGGAACTGGACAAGCATTCTCTGAAGTCTAGGGTGAGACAAGAAGAGCTGTGTCTTGTTCTCTCCCTACTTACAAATTGTAATATTCTCTTTCTAAAAGCAAAGGGACTTTGCTCATTTTGTGGTGAACCAAAATGCTACATAAACTCACCAGAACTGGCATTACAGCTTCTACTCAGGGACATAGCTTACAATTGCAAGTGTGATACCACTCAGGAGATGGACAAAGAGTCCTATATTCTCTCTCTCTGCCTTTGACAAACCTTGGAACAAGTTTCCCCACCAGGCACAACATTTCTTGCTTCCTTCCTATTTTTAGGCTGTGAACTGTGACATCTAACATTCCACAGCAGAATTTGCTGGTAGCTCTATTCAGTACCAGCATCAATGCACAACAGAAAACCTGCAAAAGCAATACTGAACAAGAAATCTGTTTTACGTGTGTCGTTACCATCACAACAGTATAAAAACATATGCATTAAAAAGTATTCTGACAAAATGAGAGCTGCAGATCATACAATCATAGGTTTTTTGTGTTAAAGGAAGAATGGGGGGGAGGAATGACAGATGGCTTCAATAAGGCACAGCTCACTGAGGCTCTGAAGTTATTGGAACAAAGTATGTCTTCAGAATCACATTTCACTTCCTAAGCTTCTAATGCATTTACTGAATACTTCATTCTATATTCAAGTCTAACACATTCCCCTAGGACTAGTAGCAAAAGGCATGCAGTAAAAACTACAGGTGAGAAAGGAAAACTATGGACCAACAAGAATACCTTCAGGTTTCTGGGGTCTAAAATTCCCTCATTTCCTATTAACCTACGGTAATGGAAGTAGGGAAAAATCTAACAGCCTTAACTAAGCTTTTCATATTGGATCAATGCCAATGGTTGCATGTTGCTGAGATAAAACTTCTATCAGTGTCAGAGACTTATTGGTAACAACTAGTGTCAAGTCATTGCCTCAGTGCACAGCAGCAACACAAAGATGGAAAAGGTCTATGTGCTGAAACTCCAAATGAGGGCTTAACAATGCAAATCCTCAGTACCCAGCTGTTTTATGTAGTTAATACGTTTCCTCAGCTGACAGCTTAATTGCCATGTGCAATGAAAATGTATACACGGGCGGAAGGCGATTCTAACAAAGCTATAGATTTATTTCACTATTTAAAGTTTAACTGCATTTTTTCCATTTTGTACATGGGATTTTTACAGCTTCAATGATCAAACAATCAATTTGCATTTATATAGCACCATTTGAAAGGGAGCATCACAAGCACTTTAGACAAACTAAGCGAAAATTAAACTAAGCCAAGCCACTAGGGAAAGCAGTTGAGGTCACACAAGTCTTCAACAGCAAGACAAACTAATGAGCATGTCTACCCAACCTCTTCTTAAGGACAGGGCGTTCCAGAGAATGGGGGCATTATGGCAGATTTACTTCAGTTCCTCCTCACCAAATACTCACAGACCTCAAAGACACAGACCGCAGAGACCATTATACCCAAGATGTAATTATTCATTCTGATGAACCAGGGTTAAAAAGACACAGAAAATACAGTGCTTAAGAGGGTTCTTTTCATGGAGAAATGTACTGCCAAAGTCACCTTGTGCTTGACACCATTTGCTTGCTGGGAAAATTAATTACCTACCCATCTGGTCAGCAATACTATCTTCACTCCTTTGCCAGCTGGGTGTGGATTTGCCGCTGCCCCCAGTATCTGTCTGTGTGCTTTGCCTGTCAATGGAGGCAGGAGATCTACGGGTCATTCCAAACCTGTTGAAATATCCCCAAAATAAAAGGTAGACAACATTTTTAATGAGGTTTAAATCCTGTACAGGAAGAAAAGAGCACTTACATGAAACCAGCAAGTAACTTCTTACAGAAATTCACAACAATAACTGACGGTAGCACTTACAATGCTTTTCCACTGAATTTTTCTTTTTAGTTCCATGGGGTCATTAAACACATATAATGTACAACATATACAGCACACACGGAATCATTCTTGTACTGAGCACCCCTGCTTCATAACATCTTAAACAAGGATGGCACAAAAAATATTTAACTAAAAAGTGGACCAGCTAGAAATCACTACTCATTTTCAGAAAAGGAGAAATAGAATAACTGATCCAAACTGGCAAGACTTAAGTGTTCTGATAGTTACAGAGGATACTGATGGCTAGCTCAGGGAAGAGCATGCATGAGACATTAACATGAAAAAAGGACAGGCCCCAGTCCTAGTCAAACTGAACTTCAGGAGAGCTAGCAAGGACAACCCAATTTATCTTAATCACTTTACAAGGACTCTGGGAAAACCTCTTTTACTATTCAGCCACCACTAGACACCACAGACATTTGTTTACATTCATGAATGCTCTGATCTGGATTATAGTATATTAAAATCAAAACTTTCAAACGTGGAAATGATATAATCCTTAACGAGCCAATAAACAGACTCCAATAAACAGTACACAATAGTTAAAGTTCCACAGCTGGCAGAATAACATCTGAAAATAATAAAATTATTAATCCACAAAGGAACAGGGGAAGAATTACTTTAAGTAGTTCAATTACTTATAAAATATTCAATTCTGCACTTGGGAAGCAAAGAGAACTGCAAAAAATGATGGCACATTTAGATACGCTTCTGTGGAAAAAGGGTTATGGTGAAAAACAAAAAGGTACAACTAAGAAATGAAGTCAGCATACAAAATCAGAAGACCTTTTCTTGTACCTAAACTTTTAAATTATGAAATCATATGATGTACAGTGAAAGGTTGATAAAGCTAAGGCCACGGAAAAAATGAAGATTGTATTAATATTGGTAAAGAAACTATCACTGAGTTTTGAGAGGACTATATAGACAAAAAGGAGGAACACAAGACAAATTTGAATACTTTTATCATTAAAATGTAACTTTTGCAATTAGTAGACACATCACATTATAACTCCTTAACCAGAAATAAGTGAAAAATTAAGAGTGGCAATGGGATGCTTAACAATATTTCCCCCGTCACATGGCTAATCTGAACTTTCTGACTAAATGTGAGATTTTCAATAGTCCCTAAGCAACTAGAGGATCACAGGTCCCACTGAAAACTTTCGGGAATTTTGCTCCCAAGTTACTTACCGTCTTTTGAAAAAAATTCATGCCAGAAATTTTAAAGTGCTGGATCAACAACTCTACTTATTCACACAACTGTTAAAACACAGTAAGTGTCAGCATAAATTTTCCTGCATTACCTCAAAACTGATCTGTGAGATCTTACAGACTTGAGAACGTATTTTGTTCTTGGCCTATTTTCTGAGGCAACTAGTACATACACCAATTAGTAGCAACTGCAGAAACAGTTTTTGGGTTATGGAGAATTGCGCATTAGGAATTGTACCTAAAGCTCAAATTTTTTCATACGGGCTATGGAATAACCATTGGTCAGGATCTTATAGTGAACTACTGACATTAATTAATTTTAAGGTTAAAAATGGAACACTTTTAGCTTAGATTAGTAGTTTTTAACCAGGGTGCTGTGAGATACTTTTAACGGTGTTGCAGGGTGCCAAGTAATATTAGTGCAGTCAGGTGTGCAAAACATCTACAAGATTTACACGATGTGCCAAAGATTTCAAATAGTGTCAAAAACAGTCTTTCAGTTATGGTTGTCCTGAGTTCTTTGCAACAAAAGAACTGCTCCACTATTTTCCTGCAGTCAGAAGATCAGTCAAAGCTAAGAGCTAGCATTCTCAAAAAGGGGTGCCTTGAGTTTAACAAGGGGTACCTTGCGTCTAAAAAGGTCGAGAACCACTAAATTAGATGCATGATCAGTCAAAGGCATAAAAGTGCTGTTGTCACTTAATTTCCTTCTCTAGCCTTCTGAGGAATTTCCAAAAGTACCTAAATGACTTAGGAGTACAGGTATCATGGAAAGTTTCACCATGATCTGAACTGTTAATCAAACTTTTTGCTGATATATTCAAATTATGGTGCGAGGCAAATCTAGGTTGCTCAACAAACATTTTTCTGAAAAGCAATTACATGGCAAAAACCAAACAGCTCTAAAACATACTTATCCCACAGTCTGGCATGGACTGTGTGGGTTTTTGCCTTCCTTTGTAGTGGGGTGGGGCAGAGGGTGAAGGGGGTATGGTTCTCTTCCTTGAACCTCAAGTATATCTTAACAAACTATTTCTTGCCCTTACAATGGTAGGGCATGGATAGTGACCCTGTCCCCCCAGCTTTACCTTTGGTAAGTTTATCTGTCAGTCATTGTGCCTGGTAGTTATACGGGAGAGTCATTTGCGTAGCTTTGCTTGGAATAAGCTAGGCAGACACTTATCTAGGATGGTTTAGATAGGGAAGTCTGCCTTGAGAAGGGTGCTGGACTAGATGACCTCCTAAGGTCTCTTCCAGCCCTAGTTTTCTGAAGTAAAATGCTATAGGTATGGTGCAACTGGCTTTGTAGCCATCAACTGCAGCAGGATGAGTGAAGTCAACTGTTATCACTGCAGAGAATCAGGGCACCTTACATGGGAATGCACAACTGAAGCTAAAGCCCAATAATTTTTCTTTGTCATCCTTCCTTTTCCTGATTGATGGTTATATTATTTTTCTATGATGTGGGGACAGTACAGAAAAAGGTGAGGATTCAGGATATGGTACAAATCTGCATAACAGACAAGGAAGTATAGAGGGAAGAAGAGATCTTAAGAATGAATTGATACAGAAAGTGTCTGGGTGACTATCCTTTTCACATAAAATGAAGTAGAACCAAAGTCCTGCATACGCCTCATAATGACTCTGACCTAAATTCTGGGGGAAGACGTGCACGTTTTGAGATACTTCAACGGAGCAGGCTGGTGATACTATGGTAGCTTCAGAAGTTTCATTAAATTAAATATGAAAATGAATGCAGTCACTACAGTATTTTTCCTCTCATTTAATTTGAAATTAAATTAATTTTTTATGGTGCCCATAAAATTTTAATTTTCAAATGTGCTGTCAAATCTTGTATTAAATATATAACTATAATGTTAAAGATGTCAGAGAAAAACTGAAGCTTTTTGTAATGATGTAAAGCAGGGTTGGCAACTTATGGCCTGGAAAGCCATAGAATTTGCCCCTGGACCTTTTGGGTTCTGGCAGTGGGAGATTTCACTGGTGTTGCAGCACAGCCAGCTAGTGGGATCTTCAGCAGCAAGGAGCTTTGCACATGCCATAGACAGGTGGCATGGAGAAGCAGTGGTAGTAGCGGCTGTTGGCCTGGCTCAGACCTGAGCTGGGTCATTCGGGCCTACTCCTGAAAAAAAGGTTTCTGACTGCTAGTGTCAAGGACCAGCTGGGATTTGTAGAATCAGCAGAACTGTAGTAAGTACTGTAGTTGGAATCTGTGGAATAAGCCACTTAGCTGGACGTAAAACAATTCAATGTTAAATATTTGAGTATAACATACTGCAGTTTCAATATTGCTGTACAGATATTTTATTTAGATTCATAGATTATTAGGGGCTGGAAGGGACCTTGCAGATCATTGGGTCCAGCCCCCCTGCTCTAGGCAGGAAGACAACTGGGGTCAAGCTAACTGTCTAGTCCTATTTGACCTATTTAGGTTTAGAACATTTCTTCAAGGGCTTCATGTACAGATGGGGGTGGGGGCAAGGAAATCAATCCTCACACCCCACTTTCTACCAAATCCACCAAATGTAGGCCTACCAAAATGGAAGCTTGCCTTAGCCAAATAAGGCCCTGTAACTCCTTTTGACTGTTCAGACGTTTCTCATTAATTGAATCAACCCATGAAAGATAATAATTGGCTCAACAATCCAAAACTGCCTTACTACTGCAAGAAAGAATAGCAGGAGTAATATATGCATATACATGGATATATACAGCCTAGGAAACACTGAATTTGGAAATCTTGGGGTCTCCGGAAATGAAAGGTTAATCCATTCTTAAACACACCATACCCAGTCATTATTAACAGATGCTATTCAATTAAAAATGGAATAAAATGAAGATCACTTCATGATCTTGAAATAAGGATATTTGTTATTTTTAAATATATATTTTTAAAAAACGATGGTTTTCCTAGATATTATTATGGAACTATTGAAAGAATGGAAATGTTAGGTGATACGTATTTGTCCGTGCCACAAAAAAAAAAAAAAATTTACAAGAAAAAAAAAAGAGTAATGGGAAATCTAAAAGAAAAGTTCAAAATCTAAAATCTCATTTATCCACTTGTGTGTCACCTGTAATTTATTCTTCATGCAACACACTCCTATTATTACTGTTGATATATTTGTGAATATGAATGTTCAATCTTACATATTTTGTTTAATTTATGATGTGGAAATTTTTTCCATAAGGAACAAAGACCCATGAAAACACTGTTTGCTTTCAATCTCTTTTAGGTCTAACTATTTCACTAATTAAAATGCAACACATTTGTTTCTTTCATTTTTTTTTTTAACTATGCTTTTTAAAACTTACTGATTAAAAATAATTAGTGATGATTGGGGCATCTTTTATGTCACTTAAAAAAAAACAGAGGTCTCAGATACAAAACGGAATCTATTTTCAGTAATGAGAAATGAAGGAAAAGTAAACAGCTATAAAAGAAAAAACATTCTTCCTTACTCTACTTTTACGTTCCATTAACATTCATGTAAACACATAAGTAACATATGTAAACAAATGGACGTATACATGAAACATCTATAATAGAAGCCCAATCTGGATACTGTTGAAATCAATGAGCACCTGTCATTGCCTGTAGTGGAAACACGGACAATAATATAGTAGGCACAGCTGTTATTGCCATAATTAATGTCAGTTAAAAGTTGTATTCTAACCTCTCCTTGCAGTCACTGGTAAGTTTTGGAAACGTTCATCTTTCATGATGAAATTGTTCATGCTTGGCCTTCTAAGCAAACATAGCTCAGCCATTTGTGAGCATGAAAACAGTGGGACAGGAGGGACAGGGCATTCTTTTCCATGATAATTAAATCTTGATACTTTTTTTAAACAGCCAAGTAGCTGAAAGGTGAAATTGTGGGAGGTGATGAGAGAAGTATTTACAGAAGATCAGTGCCAATTCTTGTTTTTATTGTTCCTTTTGTTGTTCCAGTGAAATAAGGTTTTGATCTGACTGAGTTTGGAAATAGTGAACTAAGTACCCAAGTTTTTAGGAATTTTCTTTTTGCACAGCTTGAAAAACACTCAGACAGAAAGGACCTATTGCACTTGTGTGCAAAATTAACTTTTAAGAAGGAAATTGGCTGAGGAAGCATATGTATGCGCATTTTGGGCCTGATTCAGGACAAAGCATAGGTATATGTTTAAGTGCATTCTTATTCAAGAAAACAGTTATGCCTTATGGACATTAAAGGGAACTTGCTTAACAGAGAAGCTTCCTGAATCAAGATGCCTTTATGAAGCTGTGCAGGAAGGGATAGCTCTTCAGGGAAAGACACAAAACACCAAAAGGTGTGCAGAAGAGGGTAATTTTTAAAGCAAATTTCCTAAACTGTGATGGAAGACGACTGGATGAGAGACACCTTAGGAGTTTTGCAGATGGGGGATGTACTTGATGCCTTGCTCATATGCATAGTCTTACTGTACACTGGACAGGGGAGTTTGAAGACATTCTGATATGCATGAGACACAGGGTGTTTCACTAGTTTCAGACAACAGTATTTACATTCCCTCATGCCATTTTTTTCAACACAGAAGCAGAGACTACAACTTTACAAAGACCCAGCATGGAGAGGATTATAAAATGACCTGCAAAATATTCAAGGAGACTTCAGAGGAAAACTTCCTGATGTGAGCTGCTTAACAGCTTCTATTCCTTCCTCTCTGTAAGGGGTATTTCAGAATGTGTAGTTTTATTGCTGCCAATTATTTTTCTTGCCCTACTTAAGGGCATTTGATTTATTTTTTCTTTTCAGTGTTCTCTGAAAATGCTACATATTTAATTTCTTCCTCCATGAGCTTTCCCCAAAGGAGAATTTTGGATCATTTCAGGGAATTTCATGATACCTGAAAGAGACAGGCTGATTCATAGAGGGTTTCAGTGAAAGAACTGCTTATTTGAACACTCCTTCATGGTCACTTAGTACCTTTGTCTTTAAATATTCCAAGTCTTCAATGCATAAATCACTTCTCTTGCTTCAAAACAGCCGCACCCACTGCAAAGTGAAGTGCCCAAGAACTCAGTCTGATTACTGTGTATTATTGATTTCATTTTAGAAGCTAAATCTGTGAAATGAAGTGCTTTGCAAATAAAACTGATGCCCTTAACAATGACTCTAAAATACTTCAAGGTCTCCATAGATACCACACTATGCACCGTCAGATCTAAGAACAGAAGGGGGAAAAACATGTAAGACTGCTCTTCAACCTGACTTTTGCAAAAAGGAAGGGAGTCATATAAAATTGTTTTCTTAACTGCATGTAAAGAACAGTAAGCATTGCTTGTATTTTATTACTCTAAGTTAGTCACACTCAACCTTTTACGGAGGAAGGTTAGGTGGTTGAGACCCAGCTGTACCAAGGGCCACTACTCCCCTGGGGGGGAGGGGGGGGGGCAAGGGAGAGAGGAGGAAGGAGGTGGCTGCCAGTGTCAGAGGGAGGGGAGGGAGGCAGGGAAAGGAAAGATTACCTCACTGTAAACAGTGTCTGCTATAGGGAGGGGGGAGGCAGAAAGGGAGGGAGAGAAAACTGTGCCTTCTGTAAGGGAAGGGAGATAGTTGTGGGAGGAGGGGGCTGCAGTACAGCACAGAGCAAGGAAGGGGATGTGCTGGGCAGAGCTGCTTGCTGCTGATTCTCCATGCCACAGGCCATATCAAGTCACTTTGGTGGCCAGATCTGGCCTGTGGACTGTAGGTTGAGCACCACTGCTCTAAACATCAAATGGAAGAGAGAAACGTCAGCCAACAGCACCTAAAAAAAAGTGTATAAGAAGAAAAATCTACTACTTACCCTTCTGGCATAGATTTCTGCCTGTATGTTCCCCCACCAGAGCCAGTCTCACTTGAGGACGATAGGTTGCTTGGTGAATTACGGCACTGCTGTGATCTTGCTAAAGCAATGGATGAAACGGTGACGTAGACATCGGAACCAGGAGACAACCTGTACAGAGCAAACAAACCCAAAGTCAAAAGTTCTGAAGAGTAAGATAATGCAAGGCATGACAGACAATGTGCAAATTGCCATGTCAGCTGTAAACATGGCTTCACGAAGACAGTAAACATAAAATCAGTTGGAAATCCATACAGATTTTCCCCTGTTAATTTATTCCCTGTGGGATCAGTGGGAAAAGAACATTAGGATGGTAGTGAGGAACACTTTTAGAAGAACAATCCAACTGCCAAACAGTGCCAAAAATAAACAGAGTTGTTTTGGCAGTTTGCTAGTAAAGAATATTGAACTGTAACATACTTCACCCAAATACCATACAAAAGTGATTTCTTCCTACATTTCAGAGCCGAGTTGTGCGTGGAATTTTAACAAAGTGCAGGCCTAGATCAATCCTCCAAGCACAGAAAATTCATCTCTTTGCCACAAAACTGTTAATTAAAATGCTAGGATCACAGAATTAGTTAACATTATTTGTAAATCTAAATAAGAGTTTCATCGCTCCTAAATAAATAGAATTGTTCATAACTTCTTGTAACTCTGCCTATAGAGTTACACGGAGTTGTCTCCTGTTACTAAAGCAAGAGTGTATTATATAAATGGTTAGGTTCCAACATTTGCATCTGGACAAATTCTGAATAGGAGCTTGCTTCCACTGTCCAGCTAACATATTTGCCCTGTAAATTAAGATTACTAGATTATTTTCCATTTCCTGTCTTTCATACATCTATTGAATTTTATACTGGTTAAGATGATCTAATGATTTTGTTCTGTCTGGGAGTGACAGAAATCAATAGGAGCCTTTAAAGGAGGCTTAAAAGAACTTTGCATCTCCATGAAAAACATTTAAATACATTTCTATACATTTCTATGGAAACATTTAAATACATTTCTATGGAAATTTTAACTGGAAAACAACCAACACATTGCAGTTTAAGATGTTACAGTCATCTTATTTGCAAAAGAAGTAACAGTGATTACAGTGAAAGACAGTTTAGTTCAGGGCTGTCCAAATTCTAAGCAGCCAGGGGCTAATGCTGCATGGGCTGCACCACAACAGCCCACAGGCCCCCAATATACTGTGCTGTGCAGATGCCTCAGACTGCAGACTCCCCTGGCATCAGAGGCCGTGCTGTACTGCACCACCCACTTGAGCAGGGGCAAGAAACAGAAGCCAGAGAAGACAGAGAAAGGAGGAGGTGCTGGAGATCCTGGCTGCTACTCCAGCCAGAGCAAAAGTGGGGTAAATAGCCAGGTGAGAGCCTGGGGGCCAAAAATTAATCCTCATAGCCTACATGCAGGCTGTGGACAGCCCTAGTTTAGTTGAATAAGAAGTGATCCCAAAACTGACAAAAAAATTGTTAAAGTATACTTAATCTGCATGCCTCAGCATTCCAATCTGTAAAATGGAAGCAATATTTCACTGGCTTTGTACCATGATATTGAAGAAACTATTAAAGCTTGAAAACTTCACTCTGAAGGTGAAAAAGGTTTACAAGTTCTGCTTACTGTGAGAAGGAATTCTCAAAGTATTTTTTCAAAGTATTTCAAGAATTTGTGAGTAGATGTTTTTCATCTCCTTTAATTTTATATTCTCTTACTCTACCCTTTTGCTTACCAGAAGCAAAACATAACGTAAGACTGCTGAAAGGAGGGGAGGAAAATGCAAATAAAGGGTGTACCATCATCTGGGACTCCATAAGTGCTATTTGTATAATGAAATTCAAGAAATTTTCTACGCAGCCAAGGTAGCAGCGATTTAAATCCTGATTATTTGAAGCACAGCACCAAACTCAATAAAGCCTCTTTAGTTTACAGACCTAAATTTAACTCCTCTCACATTTATCAGTGTAAGCAAAAATTTTCAAGTATTTGATTGCAAAAAAAAAAAACAACCCCTCAAAAGAGTTCAATAGCTGGAGACCTTGGGAGAGATGAACCAGATTAATGGCAAGCTCATTTTTCCAGTGGCATTCTAAGAGAGAGAGAAAGAGAGAGAAAAAAAAGAGATACGGATAAAGGGGAAGAAACAGGGGGAAAAGGGGAGAAAGAGAGAGGGGGAGAGAAAGAGAGAATGAGCAAAGTCCAGCTAGGAGAAATACTTGCTTTGAAATAAGATACACACACACACACGCGTGCGTGTGTGTGTGTGTGTGTGTGTGTGTGAGTTATAAATACATATTTAGACCAACTCATACTTAGAAATACATAAATCAAAAATTTGTTAACTATGAATTTCTCTCATATAACAACACATCAAAATTTATGGTAGGGGGACAATCACTCTGTATGGTGCATGTAAAATGTCACTCTAACAGAATAGCTTATATTTGCACTTCAGTTTCAGATATGGCTTACTTCATTTTCTGTGCATTACCAAAAATGTGACAGCAATGTCCTGAGGGGAAAGAAGATTTCATGCTAATGACAGAGATACAACTCCTCTACCAGCAAGGAAGACTTTTAGAATGAATACAGCAAAGTGATTAGAAACTTGTTCTGAGAAGCTACATAAATGACAGCCACACTCATTTATTCAAGACTGATTTGACTTTATTCTGTGGTAAGCAGATAAATAGTATATAGAGCTCTACAGCAGTGTAAGCTACTGCCCCCCCTAGAATAAATATACTGTCTCCCCACACCCACCCACCTTTGCAAGTAAAAAGTAAGTGTGCCTTGGTATAAACTGCACCAATCTAGTACAAATTGGTGCCCCTATGTGCATCCCGGGAGGGCACGTGCCCATGGATCTGTTCTCAGGGCAAGGCAGGTTGCGGCTGTGGGCTGGGGCCATGGCGGCATCGAGCTTTGCTTGGCGGGGGCCTGGGCCGGACTGCACTCGGGACGGTTGGAGAGAGGGAGGAGTGCACTGGGGGAGGAGCTACGGGGGGCTGCAGCCACCCCAAAATTCACCGTAACCCCCCCTCCCAGTGCCACCGCCACCCACCCCAAGTGCAGCCCTGGCCCAACCCCCCCAGGAAGAGCCTGGTGCTGCCCTTGGCCCCAGCCTGCAGCAGCAGCCCACACTTGCCCTGCACACAGAACCAGGGGCACATGCCCTCCTGGGGTGTGTGTAGTGGTGGGAGCCACCACTCCCCAGGCCCCCCGGATGAGCTGCTCACAGCTCCGTCCCATGCCCCGACCCAGCTGTGTAGCACCTGCCCCTGCCCCAGTCCCACTCCCTCTTTCACTGCTGGGGCCTTGGTCTGCACCCCCTCCCCCACCCCCCACGCTCCTTCCCTCACAACAGACTTGACCAGCTTGACCCAGCTGCTCTCCACATCTGTGTGCTGCACTGCGGTTGCACGCATGAACAAGGCATTTATTAGTGACATTATCAGCCACATCAGCCAAAAAACCCCGACTGCCGATACTGTCAATTTTCCTGATACCGGTGCCGATCCGATATGGGACTGGTGTATCGGTGCATCCCTAGTCATTAATTGTACTGTTCAACCTGTTCACAATATCAATCTTCCAGATTGCTTTCAATAGTCACCAGTGTTAGTAAGACAACCAGGAGACTGATGCTAATTCCAACAGACTCCCAGTCAATCCGGGAGGGCTGGCAACCCTATAAGTGATACACCACAATCTACCATATATGTTATAGGTATATAAAACACAGAACAAAATATGAAAATGAATGCCATTAAGGTGCAAAGCCAAGCACCCAAATGTGCTATTTGGATGGCTATTCAAGCTTAATTTGTCCCCCTTGTGCATATGCATTATCATAGTCTTTAATTAATAGAGCACGTACTATTTTTTCCCCACTGGATTCTATGTCATTCAGTGCATAGGCTGGACCTGCTCTTGAAATGGACTAGGCTGTGTAGTCAAGGAGGCTTCTGTTTGTAGGACCTCTGCTTTATTTGTTGCAAAAATTACACATGAATGATGCAGGGGACTGCACTACAGGCTGGTCCTATAGGAAAAGGTAGCTTAATGCTGTGGTAGAGATTTTGATTCTTTCCCTGCTTCTGCGTAAGTGCTTCTTTCTGATATAGGCCAATGCATTTAAGCCAAACTCTTCAGAGGTGGTCACTAACTGCCTGTTCCTCAGGTGTCTCACCTGAAACCCAGGTGTCTTGATTTATAAGAACTGGTGAAAGTTCACCACAGCCATTCAAGTCAATGAGTCCTGTGCTCCGAGTCTTCAAACAGCTAGCAAAAATTTCCTGATCATAGGCCTTGGTTCTCACAGGGGACTTCAGCCACCCTGACATCTACTGGGAGGGCAATACAGCAGTGTGTAGGCAACTGAGGAAGTTTCTGGAGAGGGTTGGCGACAACTTCCTGGTGCAAGTGCTGGAGCAGCCAACTAGGGGCCATGCCCTTCTTGACATGGTGCTCAAAAACAGGGAAGAACTGGTGGGGAATGTAGTAGTGGATGGTAGCTTAGGTAGCAGTGATTATGAGATGACTGAGTTTAGAATCCTGAGTAAAGGAAGGAAGTAGAGCAGCAGAGGAAGGAACCTGGACTGCAGAAAAGCAGACTTTGACTGTGAAGTAGTGCCTCCTGATGTCTAGTCTGAATCTACTCTCCATCAACTTATGGCCATTATTCCTTGCTACTCCCAGTAGTGCTCAGGGGAACAGGGACTCTCCCATTGCCTGCTGGTCTCCCTTGGCCAGTTTGTAGACTGCCACCAGATCCCCTCTCAGCCTTCTCTTGTGGAGGCTGAACAGGTTCAGGTCCCGTAGCCTCTCGCAGTAGGGTCTGCCCTACTGCCCCCTGATCATGCGAGTGGCCCTCCTCTGGACCCTCTCGATGCTGTCCACATCCCTCCTGAAGTGCGGCACCCAGAACTGGACGCAATAGTCCAACTGTGGCCTTACCAATGTCGCATAGAGGGAGAGGATCACCTCCTTGGACCTGCTCATGATTCACCTGTGGATGCATGACAAGGTGCGGTTAGCCTTCCTGACTGCATCCCCACATCCGTGGCCCATGTTCATCTTGGAGTCTATAACGACTCCAAGATCCT